GATAAATAAAAGCCTGTTTTTTTAAAAGGGAGAGGCAGAGAGAAGAAATCGGAGGAAAGATGAAACCGACAAAGACAAAGCCCAGCTTTGAGAGCTACTATCCAACCATTAAATAAATAGGAGAGGGGGGAACTAACTCATGTGGGGGATTTATTCATCAGAATTGTGTCTGTGATTTGTCCTGTTTGTTAGAAATTTGAGGCTTTACAAAAGGTTAATAAGTTAAAGAACATTTTGTCTTCTGTTCACATTCATATAAATAAAAGACTGTTTTTTCTGTTTAAAAACAGTAAAAGGGAGAGGAGAAGAGAATAAAATTGGAGGAAAGATGAGACCGACAAAGCCAAAGCCCAGATTTGAGAGCTACTATTTGAGGTTAATAGGTTAAAGAACATGTTTTTTCTTTTTAAAAACGGTAAAAGGGAGATGAAGAAAGAAGAAATCGGAGGAAGGATGAAACCAACAAAGCCAAAGCCCAGCTCCCCCCCCCCCCCCCCCCCGGCTTCAGTCCGCGGCTGTTAAATAAGGAGTTGGTTTCTTCCAAGGCCGGCGTCTTTCAGCCGGCGCCTGGTCATGTGATCTGTGTGGGCGCCGGTGATTCAGCCCCGCTCACGCAGGCCGTCCTTCAGCTGTGGAAAAAATCCTTTATCTCTTATCTGCCCCCCCCTCCTCACACGGGAGGCCACGGACCTCAACGGGAAACAAAAATGGAGGCTCCGAAAAAGCAGGAGTCCGTCTTTCTCTCTCCTCCTCCTCCTCCTCCTCCTCCTCCTCCGGGAGGAAGCACAGGGAGGAGGTGTCATGGCCGAGTTACTGACTCTATCCAGTGAACACAAAAGTTTTTATTTTCACTCTGAGCGAGAGATGAACGGCGTCTTCTGGAACCCGGTGATGGTTTTAATGGTTCTCATGCCACTCCACACATCCCTCGTGTTGTTTTTGTTTTGGAGTTTATTCTCCAGCTTTTTCCTATCCAGCAGCAACTGGCCTCATCAACAAGGCCAGCGACCCCCACCTATTCTTCTCCCCCCCCCCTCTAACTCACTAATTTACCTAATGCCTTCAGCATTTTCTGGTCTGTCGTTGCAGATCAACATTGCACATTTCAATTGTTCATTTGTACATTCGGATCTATATTTTTAAAGATTGTTCATTTGTACGTTCAGATCTATATTTTTAAAGATTGTATTTTTCAGTTTTATCATTTTTGTCCTATATTTTTATTTCTACATTTTATTCTTGCTTCTCATAGAAGTGTTGTGTTGTGCACCAAACACCAAGGCAAAGTCTAAAAACTTACTTGGCAATAAACCTTATTCTGATTCTGATTCTGATTCTGTGCTTGTCCTTAGCCTCCTTGATTTTAAGTTTGAGTACCCCCTGCACTCTGAACGCCCTCTTCTTTTCATTCAGGAAAATACGTTTTTTGGGGAGAAACTGGAGCGGCCTCAGCTTCTCGCCGCCTCAGAAAGAGTCCCTCCATTTAGGGCAGGGGTGGGCAACTCCAGGCCTCAAGATCCGCTGTCCTGCAGGTTTTAGGGGTATCCCTGCTTCTACACACCTGATTCACATCATCACAACATCAGCAGTCCTGTTCAGAGCTGGAGCGCCGTTAGAAGAGATCAATTTTATCCGAATCAGGTGTGTAGAAGCAGGGAAATTTATAAAACCTGCAGGACAGCGGCTCTCGAGGCCTGGAGTTGCCTTCCCCTGGTTTAGGGGTTTCAGCCACTCGGCAGTAAAGATTTGAGTCTCAAACGAGTCTCAGCCAGGGTCTTTTTGTGACCGGAATGGGAGGCGAAAGCATCCGAGTGTTGTCCTCAGCATCCGGGGGGCGAACCTGGCCTCCATTAAACGCTTTTCTGACAGATTACAGGCTCTAATCCACAACTGCAAAAGCCCAAAAACAGACGGGCCGCCTCTGCTCACAACTAAGCTGCTAAATCAGCTTTTTTAACACTCACAAGGGGTTAGTTTGTTCATTGGTTAGTCTTTTGGGGTCTTTGGAGGCATAACAAGCAGGTGAATAAGTGTAATAGCAGCTTTGCAGTTAAATAGGATTATTATCATCACAGTTGGTGAATGTTTGTTTTTTAATATGTTTGTTAGGCTCATCTCCAATCAAAGATCGGATCACAATGCAGGAAATTAGACTAAATTGGCCACATGATTGCATAATGTGGGACAAAAACACAGACTATAGGCGTAAAACAACAGCAAGTTCTGGTTTCATGTCCGGCTGAGAACTTGTTGGTTGTTCTTCGGCTGCCTTAGTTTTGTTCGTTTAGTTTTGGGAAGTCAGATAAAGATCAGAAAGGGAACGACTGGAGCTGTTAAAGTATCCAGACGTCTTCTCCATAAAGAGCCAAACAGAACATTTAGAGGTTAGTTAGTCATCCTGGAGGGTTTCAGGCTCCAGATCTGGAGGTTTCCTGGACGTCTCCCAGGTAATCTGCTTCAGACGGGAATCACAGGAGGTGTAAATCTGAAGAGCTGGAGGAGGTGTCACAGAAGAGGGGGGGGGGGGGGGGGGGTTTGTGGTAAACCACTGAAAATGGATGGATTATTATTCCTGTCAAGGCTTTTGGAGGGAGCAATTTAAGACAAACCACTGTACCAACTATTCATTTAACCAGAGCTTCAGAGCTAGTTTGGGGCTAAAGTTGCTTTCTGGTGTTGTCTAAGAATAAAGCAGCTCTTCTGGGGGGGGGGGGGCTTACTGTGCGTGTCGGGGCCGGCGTGGAGCTGCAGGTACTGCATGTCTTTGCTGTGCAGCTGCATGTTGAGCTTCTGGAGGGAGTTGTCCCTCTGCCTCAGAGCCGACTCCAGGCCCAGGATCCGCTCCACGTGTTTCTCCACCAGGCTGGTCTGCAAACACACACACAGTTTCACCCTTTAAAGCCTGATCCAAGAGCAAAACAAAACAGAAAATTACTTTTTTTTTGGGTTTGAATTCCTTATTATTTGGCCTTTTAACAAAATATGTAAAAAGAAAAAACAGAAATACATTT